ATTCGAAACCGCGACCCTCAGATTGCGAGTCGAGTGCCTTAACCACCTGGCCATGCCGGGCCCCGTAATTTGTGGGTGTGGTGTAAGAGTGACTGTCAAAATGCACTATTTGATTAGAGTAGCCCAAGAGTTGGTGCTAAGTGTTGTTGATAATCTGCCTTTCATCTAATTTGTTACTTCCAAATAGAGAACAGATAGCCTTCGACTAGCTTTATGTAAAATTCCACAAATTGTCAATGACTTTTGTGTGTTGTGAAAAATAAAAATGACGAAAACAGTTTGATTCACTTGTCCAAAGTGTTGATTAAATGCATAGTTGTACCGTGTACGTATAATAACACTGGATTCGATAAAACTGGCTATAAAGTATAAAATTCCATTCAATCGTATGCGATTAATTTAGTTTTATCGATCACTTGTAATGAGTTCATTGAACATTTATATTGACGAAATATAGTTAAATGTTATAAACAGAGATAGAAACAGAACAACCAAGTTTTTCATAGATGTAATAAATGTTCTTATTTTTACTCTCTCTGAAACAGCAAACAACTTTAAGCAATGTTTACGCACAAGTATTTCTGATTCTACTATAGACGGGAATATAGATACGCACAAAATATAAATAGAAATACAAGTGTATAGTGACCCCTCGAACTTCCCGCACGTTAAACTGAATTACTTTCTGCACTAAGTTTTGTGTGAATAAATACAAATACAAGTGTATAGTGACCCCTCGAACTTCCCGCACGTTAAACTGAATTACTTTCTGCACTAATAAGTTTGTGTGAATAAATACAACTTCCCGCACGTTAAACTGAATTACTTTCTGCACTAAGTTTTGTGTGAATAGATACAAATACAAGTGTATAGTGACCCCTCGAACTTCCCGCATGTTAAACTGAATTACTTTCTGCACTAATAAGTTTTGTATGATTAGAACAGTTTTTATAAAAATCGAATGTTAAAACCATGTTCTGACCGTAAACCCTAGTGATTCCATTAGGACGATGATTCCCAATCTGGGATTCTTTGACCAAAAGAGATACACGAGACTGTCTCATGATAAAAATTTCCTCTTTTTCTGACAAAAGAGAAAACGTTATTTTTGGCGGGAATTACATTTAATGCAAGAACTTTCAGTACACAACGTTGTTTATGATCAGGTGTTTTTTTAAAGAACAATTTTTACTCAAAGTAAAATATTTTAGAAGGGGGGGGTAGCCCTTATCCCTGGTGTCTTAGGTCCCAATCTGAGAAACCAAGGAATTAAATTAATTAAAGACCAAAACATCAAAAACACATTTTCATATTTTAAAATATTTCTATGTAACTGTCTGAAAGTCCGACCTAGCCAAAGTTGAAGTAAAAGTCCAAAATTCGTTTTCATCTGGATGTCATAACATAACGCATTATATATTAGTTGTTTTTTTTATCAAAAACATAGGTTCACTTGTGTTTATTTTAGGTCGTATACGTAATACTTATCAGGCAATCCAATAATGGATTATACGGTTGATATAATAGGTTTTATTCCACCGTTGAAAATAAATAATTTGAGTGCCTAAACAAAGGCACATGTTCTACCATTCCTGTCGTTTGAATCATTATATTATGTATATAGAGATTTTGGTGCAGCCTCTAAATAGATTTAATATTTTTGTCTTTGTATGTCCCCTAATGGGTCGGCGGTAAGTTTACGGGCTTACAATGCTACAATCCGGGGTTTGATTCCCGGTGGTGAACAAAGTGTTGATACAAACAAAAAACATTAGATTTAAGGCATACAACAAAGAGATATTTATTTAAATAACGAACCCAACCTACCAAGTACCTTCATTTCCTTGCTAGCCTCTACAGTTTGGAAGGAGGGCGCTTCTGCCGAAACTTCGCATCTGTAGCGACCTTCAGAATCAAGGTTTATGTCATTTAGATATACTTGGTTTTCACCAGACTTGGACAGCTGAAACGAAAGGAAATTAGTGGTATACATAGGTATGTAAGGAAAAAAAACAGACGCCATTTTTAGCTATGAAACTTTCACATACCGCAATGTATAAATACACCGAATTAATGAATAATTCTGGATTGCTCTTTCCCATTACTACCCAGAACAAAGAAAGATATAATACGTAACCAATATAAATACAAAGGTTTCAAATAACACGAATACAATAAGAGTTTCAGTATCAGGTAGCATGTATTATCAATTTCGTTAATGACTCATGTAAACTTCAGAATAAAATGTGCATTTTCTTAGTGGTCGACCAAATCGTTTTCCAAGATCTAACACATCCGCACTCCTGTGCAGTAGAAATAACACCTACCATTTTATCAAGATTTTGAAGAAGTCTTTTGCTAGGCCTATTTGATTTCGTATTAGAATTTGTCCGTTAACCTTAATTCCGACGAAAGTTCTGCCTTTACAATATGCGAAGCGTCTAACTGTATGGCACAATGATCAGATCAATGGCACAGTATACCATAAACCTGATATAATGTATTTTGTTGAATGTAAACTGATTATGTGTTAAACTTTTCAGTGTGTTTTGCTTCACAGCTTCATAAGAAGTTTATTATCTAAATTCAAGAAGTATGTATTTACCTTTCGTTTTACTTCTTCGTAAATTATTTTATGAATATATGTCTGTAAATATATATATATATGTAATAAATGGCATAATAGTATATTATCGCTAGAGGTCACTAACTATAATAATGATTCCGTACCTGTCTTCAAATACACAAACACACACACACATAGCACGCACCACAATACCTTACTAAATTGCATTGTGTATCGAATAATAAAGAAATCGAAATGTTTATCTAAAATTGATAATTTTTTCTTCCTTCTTCGAGCTAATTGACTCGCATGTCACTGTTTTTTAAGTGGATTCGAATTCTCAGTTACAGTCAATAATGATTATCGTAAATGAAAATCACTCTCATAAACAGAGGTTTGAGAACGTTATATTAAAATGATTTTGAATATACAAAAACAGTAAGTCACGTAACAATCGTAGCTGTTATAAAGTCGCAGTGGAACGGAATGTATCAGAACTACATTGTGTCATTGTTTGGCGCTTTGTAGGTCGTGTGATGCCACCAAAATAGTATAACTTCTAGAAATAGTATGTAACAGTCCTTTCTGAAGCAAAATATGTGTTTATATCGGGAATTTATAATTTCTGAGATATACCTTAACTTAGAAACAAAAAAACGGATTTGGATCAACTTGGGGTACCAGGGCTATCAAAAATGCGACCTCCAACAAGTTGTATTCTAGCCTTGGCAAACAAAGTGTGGCATTTTATGAAAGGTGAGAATCCACGGACAGTAGCAAAAGTCATCCACATGTCCCAGGCAACAATATGTAATACAACCAAGGAGTATCTTCGTCTGGAAGTGCAACAGAAATTGCTTCCACACGTCATTTCAACCATCATATTCTATGCTTAAGAAATATTATCAAAAAGATTGAGTGTGAAGACATGGTAAGGCTACAAAGTAGTTTTAATATAGCGTAATAAACCTTTGTATTATATATTATGAGCATTCGGCAACACAAAACCTCTGGACAATAGTATGGCAACATGTGAAATTCTCCTTTCTTGTTCCAAGTTTAGACATTATTTCACACTGGTATTTTTTGTAGTATCCAAAATAATTTTTAAAGCTTGCATCTCCCGAACTGATCAAAACGAATGAATTAGTTATCCTCTGATATAGTTATTATATCAGCAAATGTTATCAACCAAATGACCCTGGCTTCTGAAAACCTTCGAGTGTTAACAAGATGTATCATTATGACAGAGGAATTGGGCGATTGTAAGGAGAATGAACTAGGCATTAGTAACTCAAAAAATTACTTCATTGAGAGGAGATCTTTAGTCAGGATGCCTAAAGTCATGAAGGGTCTTGCACCAAAAAGTTTGGAAACTCCTGAACTAGGTCATTCACTGACTCAATCTACTTGGGCATTATAATACTATAAAGATGTGGTGATATTGATCCTTGTTGTACGCACTACACAACAAGAATCCATTAAAAAAAATCTGATTTGTTTCGCTATAAGTTACTTTATAGTTACGGTTTAACGCATTGGAAACCAATATGCCTGGAAATTATCATAACATTCAAACTAACTGATTTCGAGCTGCAATGAACAAATTCAGATCAAACTAACTGATTTCGAGCTGCAATGAAGAAATTCAGAGGAATATGGAAGAAAAAAAAACACCTGCAGTTAACTTGACTTGTATATAATTTACTACAAAAACGTTATATATATATTTGTAGTTGATAGATTCATAGTTTACTGAATATTAGAAAGCAACTTAATATAGGTGACGGAGACGATTATTTTCACATTCAAGTTTTATAGTTGTTCAGGAACACAGAAATTATTGATTTGTTTGTTTCAGATATTCGCGTAAAGCTACACAAAATGCTTAAATCGTCCCGAATTTTGAACTGATAAACTAGAGGAATAATATTTAATCAACAGCACCAATTCTTGGGCTACTCTAATCGAATAATAATCTTTGACCATCACTCTTATAACGCACCCACAGTCCCAAACTGGAGCGCTATTATAGAGCAAAGAAATACGAACCATGAACCTTCGGGCTAGCATTCTGCATTAGGCAGATTTAAATGATTAAACATATTTTATTGTAAGTAATAAGTAGAAGGGCTTGAATCTATATAAATACAAATTTAGTGCAAATTATAAATACGTAATATATTTCTATATTTGAAGTTATTACTTACGACTTGGATAATTTACACATGAAATATTATTTTTCTAACAGAATATTTTTCGATCTTATCGAAGTAGCGCACACCTGAAGGATCAGTAAATTTATTTTGATATTTTTCCAGATAGTTCGCTTTCATCTTCTTATAAGTTATTCTAAGACAACTGGTATGCCACATCTTATGATATTTTCATTTGTGTGAAACTTAAAACAAATCAGGGGAAAAAAATCACGATTACTAGATCTGGAAGACGTCTGTTTGTTTGCTGAATTTCACGCAGAAGCTAGTCGAGAGCTATCCGTGCCAGACAACCCTAATTTTGACGTGATGGACTAGAGGAAAGGCAGCCAGCCAGCCATTCAACATCATCCGCGCAATTCACGGGTTACTTTATTTGAATGATGGGCTTTAACTGTCACTCTTATAAAGTGCTTGAGGCGTATAATTGTTTGTTTTTTTTTTACTTTTTATAATCAGAATGCTAACCACTGGGCCACGCCTGAAACCTTTAAGAAATCATTTATTCGGATTCAAACAAAGGAAGGAAATTTTCTACCCCCCCCCCCCGAAAAAAAAAACTCTGTAGCTTTGTTTCAGAATAGTTTATGCATTTCTTATGATAATTCAAAGTTATCATTTTAAGTGAGTGTCTAAAAATACGAAGTTTTTTTATGAATTGATTCTTCAAACACTCGTATGTATAAAGTAATGATAGTCGGAAAAGTCTTGTCTGCATACTTAAAAAGTGACGCAAACTATTAAATTAAAGAACGGACTCCTGTGTGAGAAAGGAAAGTTAACATAAAAAAATAACTTAATTTTCTCTCCTCCTGCATGAAAGCGCACACGAGTAAAATGGTACGGTTTTAATACACCAGCGCTAACCATAGAAAGAGATCATTTGCCATCGACAGCGTATTCTTACCGCATAAGGTTGTGAATGTTATCACTAGTATAATGATACATCTTATTTTTCTAGGCCTAAGAAGTTTTTTTCTTTAGTAAAAAAAAACGTTGTTTCTTTTTAATTACGAAAAATTAATATCATGACGGGATATTAAAATGTACTCTATAACAAGAATATCAAATTAAAGAATTATGAAAAAATAACGAAGTATGTTGCACTCAAAAACTTTGTATAATTTAAATCTGATTTATTATGCATGCAAATCGCCCTTATATCCATACATCATGAAAAAGAAGCGATTATAACGTTGTCACTATCACTACAAAAAAGGCCCGGCATGGCCAGGTGGTTAGGACGCTCGATTCGCAATCTACGGGTTCGCATCCCCATCCCACCAAAACATGCTCGCCCTTTCAGCCGTGGGGGCGTTATAATGTGACGGTCAATC